CCCTCGACCCTATCCCCTCACAACTCCTACGACCTCCTTCCCCCTCCATCCTACGCTCCCTCACCCACATCTTCAATCTCTCCCTCTCCTCCGGCACTTTCCCCTCCCCCCTCTGAAACATGCACACATCACCCCCATACTTAAAAAGCCCTCCCTGGACCCTAATGACCCAAACAACCTCAGACCCATCTCCCTGCTCCCATTTATATCTAAACTCCTCGAGCGCCTAGTCTACACCCGCCTATGCTCTCACCTCAACGACAACAACCTCCTCGATCCCCTACAGTCCGGCTTCCGTCCCCTACACTCCACCGAAACTTCCTTACTCAAACTCTCCAACGACCTGCTAACCGCCAAAGCTAATGGCCACTATTCAGTGCTCCTACTCCTTGACCTCTCTGCAGCCTTCGACACAGTTGACCACCCCCTCCTCCTCAAAAAACTACACTCCCTCAGCCTCAGAGACTCTGCTCTCTCCTGGCTCTCATCCTACCTGTCACAACGCTCCTTCAGCGTTACCTATAATGCTACCACCTCCCCCTCACTCCCCCTCTCAGTTGGGGTCCCTCAAGGCTCTGTCCTTGGGCCCCTTCTCTTCTCCATCTATACCTCCTCCCTTGGCCAACTCATACACTCTCACGGCTTCAACTACCACCTCTATGCCGACGACATACAAATCTATCTCTCAACCCCCCACCTCACACCCCCCTGGGTCTCAGCCCGAATCACACACCTACTGAGCGACATATCAGACTGGATGTCACTCCACTTCCTTAAACTGAACCTCTCCAAAACAGAGTTTCTTGTCTTCCCCCCAGCCCGGACACCACCCCCCATTGACTTCTCCGTCACATCCAACAACGCTACCATCAAACCCGCCCTGCAGGCCAGAGTACTTGGTGTCATTCTGGACTCCAACCTATCCTTCCATCCCCAAGTCCAATCTTTAACAAACTCGTGCAGACTCCACCTCCGCAACATCGCCAAAATCCGCACGTTCCTAACCCCAGAAATCACTAAACAGCTCATCCACTCCCTCATCATATCACGACTCGACTACTGCAACTCCCTCCTCACTGGCCTGCCTCGCCGCTGGCTATCCCCGCTTCAGTCGATCCTGAATATGGCTGCCAGACTCATTCACCTTTCAAACCGCTCCATCTCCGCCACCCCCCTCTACCAATCCCTCCACTGGCTTCCGATTGCGCAACGGATCAAATTCAAAATCCTAACACTGACGTACAAAGCTGTCCACCATACTGCCCCAAACTACATCACTGACCTAATACCCAAGTACCGCCCAGCACGCACACTCCGCTCCTCACAAGACCTCCTTCTCTCTAGTTCCCTGGTCTCCTCCTCCCATGCCCGCCTCCAGGACTTCTCCAAGGTGTCACCCATCCTCTGGAACTCCCTGCCCCAACCCATCAGATTATCACCTACTCTCCTCTCCTTTAGGCGCACCCTGAAAACCCATCTCTTCAGGGAAGCCTACCCCACCCCCTGCTAACTTGCCGACCTCCTCCACTCTTCCTACCACTCCATCCCCCACAGCTATCTCCTCCTGTGCCACCATCCCCTCCCTCCTAGATTGTAAGCTCAAAGGAGCAGGGCCCTCGAACCCCTCATGTTTTATATTGTATTGGTATTGTTCTGTCACATGTTCTGTCCCCCTTTGTAATGTACAGCGCTGAGCGAACTATTGGCGCTTTATAAATACTGTATAATAATAATAATAATAATAATAATTACTCCTAATATTTTATCTACATAGCTACATATTTTTTTTTTTAAACTCTACTTTAAGTGATTTGCAGCCCTGATGAAGGGGATTTTTAGACTGCCGAAATGTGTTGAAATTTCATGAATTCCTTGAGGCTAAACCTTTTTTTTCAGTTTTGGATATAGAGTTATCCAGTAAATGTTATTGAAGTTTAACATTCATTAATCAATATATGATGATGATGATGATTTTTATTATAATTTCTTGGCAATTGGCAAATTATTTTTTTCTTGGCATACAAAATTGTATATTTATTACTCCTGATATACAGTATAATCTGCATATCTGCATTGTCTTTTTTTTTTTAAATAAATTCTTGGACCATCAAAACATGTTGGAATTTCATTACTTCTTTAAGGCAAAACTTTTTTGTTTTTTGTTTTGGATATAGTGGAGAGGGATTAGGACATTTCCAGGTTTTTATTGCCGTCTGTATTCTCGTTATGTTAGCCAGTAAATTTTAATATTAATGAGTTAATAAATGAATGAATATCTATTACTATTATTATTATTTCATATTTATTACTCCTAATATACAGTATTATCTACATATTCACATATTTGTTTCTTATATACTCTTACTTCCAGTGATTTTCAGCCCTGAGAAACATGTAGGGATTTTAATAATTCTATAAGGCACATTTTTTTTCAAGTTTTGGATAGGGGTTAGAACTCGTCAGGTCTTTATTGCTGACTGTGTTTCTCTTATGGTATCCAATAATTTTTAACGAAGTCTTAAAATCCATTAATTAATATCTATTAATTCGGTCATTTTCTTGGCATTCAATTTGTGATATTTATTACTCCGAATATATTATCTATATATTTTTTATATCAGCCCGAACCCACCCCCCCATTGACTTCCCCATCATGTCCAACAACGCCACCATCAAACCCGCCCTGCAGGCCAGAGTACTTGGTGTCATTCTGGACTCCAACCTATCCTTCCAGCCCCAAGTCCAATCTTTAACAAACTCGTGCAGACTCCACCTCCGCAACATCGCCAAAATCCGCACGTTCCTAACCCCAGAAACCACTAAACAGCTCATCCACTCCCTCATCATATCACGACTCGACTACTGCAACTCCCTCCTCACTGGCCTGCCTCGCCGCTGGCTATCCCCGCTTCAGTCGATCCTGAATATGGCTGCCAGACTCATTCACCTTTCCAACCGCTCCATCTCCGCCACCCCCCTCTGCCAATCCCTCCACTGGCTTCCGATTGCGCAACGGATCGAATTCTAAATCCTAACGCTGACGTACAAAGCTGTCCACCATACTGCCCCGAACTACATCACTGACCTAATATCCAAGTACCACCCAGCACGCACACTCCGCTCCTCACAAGACCTCCTTCTCTCTAGTTCCCTGGTCTCCTCCTCCCATGCCCGCCTCCAGGACTTCTCCAGGGTGTCACCCATCCTCTGGAACTCCCTGCCCCAACCCATCAGATTATCACCTACTCTCCTCTTCTTTTGGTGCACCCTGAAAACCCATCTCTTCAGGGAAGCCTACCCCACCCCCTGCTAACTTGCCGACCTCCTCCACTCTTCCTACCACTCCATCCCCCACAGCTATCTCCTCCTGTGCCACCATCCCCTCCCTCCTACATTGTAAGCTGGAAAGAGCAGGGCCCTCGATCCCCTCATGTTTTGCATTGTATTGGTATTGTTCTGTCACATGTTCTGTCCCCCTTTGTAATGTACAGCGCTGAGCGAACTATTGGCGCTTTATAAATACTGTATAATAATAATAATAATAATAATAATATTCTTTCTTCAAGTGATTTGAAGCCCTGATAAAGGTGGTTTTTAGACAGTTGAAATGTGTTGGTGTTCCATTCATTCTTTAAGGTATACCTTAAGGCAAAACCTTTTTTTTTTTTTTTTTTTTTTTAAATTTTGGTTAGGGTTAGGAGGAATTAGAACACCTGTTGGTTTTGTATTGCTGCCTCTGTCCTTGTTATGGAGATTCGCTCTCTCTATTTGCCCTGGTTACTGTTACCGGTTACGCAGAATGAAAGTCAAAGGAAATCCCAAATTTGGGGTTATCGCCAGAACAGGAATAGAGGGGAATAGAGGGGAAGTCTTCCAAGGAAGACTAGCGATAACAAGGGCTGGACCTATGGGGGTGCTGGGTTGGGTTGTGCACCCCCCCCCCGGTCTCTGAGAGTGTATCCAATGCTCCATGAGCCAGTTTGATGCAGACAGTTGATGTAAGGAGGGACTCTTATGGCGACAATCCATGTAAGGGGGCACTCTGACGAGGGTTTAACTGATCATATGTAAGGGGGCACTCGGATGGGTTTAATTGATCATATGTAAGGGGCACTCTGATGGGTTTAACTTATCATATGTAAGGGGGCACTCTGATGGGTTTAACTGATCATATGTAAGGGGGCACTCGGATGGGTTTAACTGATCATATGTAAGGGGGCACTCTGATGGGTTTAATTGATCATATGTAAGGGGGCACTCTGATGGGTTTAACTGATCATATGTAAGGGGGCACTCTGATGGGTTTAACTGATCATATGTATGGAGGCACTCTGATGGGTTTAATTGATCATATGTAAAGGGGCACTCTGATGGGTTTAACTGATCATATGTAAGGGGGCACTCTGATGGGTTTAACTTATCATATGTAAGGGGGCACTCTGATGGGTTTAACTGATCATATGTAAGGGGGCACTCTGATGGGTTTAACTGATCATATGTAAGGGGGCACTCTGATGGGTTTAACTGATCATATGTAAAGGGGCACTCTGATGGGTTTAACTGATCATATGTAAGGGGGCACTCTGATGAAGACATGTGCTAAGCTATAGACCTTCAGAGTGCCACATCCGAAATATTAAAACAAAAATAAACTGGAGGTATTCGTCAAAATATATGCACAAAAAATGTAATCATCCAATCCTTCAAGCCCAAAGACACTAGAGAACCCTAAAATTATTGGTGTGTTGATGATAGTCACAGATAGCCCCCAAAAGGTATCCTTGGGCTATAGATGTTTCCACAATTACCTGAATAGACCCAAAGACAGAATGTACATCCACTCCAACACAGAAGTGTTAAAGGGTCCAGTTACTCTACCCACCCTCTAAATTCTCCAACCGTCTGCCGCCAAAACGCCACCCAACCACCCATTTCTTCTCCAGTTTATTTTTGTTCTCTTATGAAGACAGTTGATGTAAGGGGGGACTCTATTAGGGGCACTGAAGTAAGGGGGAGCTCTGATGGGGACACTTGAAGTAAAATGGCACTCTGATGGGGACCTGATGTAAGGGGGAACCCTGATGGGGGCCTGATGTAAGGAGGAACTCTGATGGGGTCCTGATGTAAGAGGGAACTCTGAGGGGGACCCTGATGTAAAGGGGAACTCTAATGGGGACCCTGATGTAAGGGGGAACTCTGAGAAGGACCCTGATGTAAGGGGGCACTCTGATGGGGACCCTGATTTAAAGAGGAACTCCGAAGGGGACCCTGATGTAAGGGGGGACTCTGATGGGGGCCTGATGTAAGGAGGAACTCTGATGGGGAGCTGATGTAAGAGAGAACTCTGATGGGGACCTGATGTAAGGGGGAACTCTGATGGGGACCCTGATGTAAGAGGGAACTCTAATGGGGACCCTGATGTAAGAGAGAACTCTAATGGGGACCCTGATGTAAGGGGGAACTCTGAGGGGGACCCTGATGTAAGGGGGCATTCTAATGGGGACCCTGATGTAAGGGGGAACTCTGAGGGAGACCGTGATGTAAGGGGGCACTCTGATGGGGACCCTGATGTAAAGAGGAATTCTTATGGGGACCCTGATGTAAGGGGGAACTCTCCTTAGGACCCTGATGTAAGGGGGAACTCTGATGGGGACCCTGTTGTAAGGGGGAACTCTGATGGGGAGCCTTGTGTAAGGGGGAACTCTGACGGGGACCTTTATGTAAGGGGGCTGTAACAGAACCGGACTCCGACTGCACTTGGGTATTTCCGTTATAATACCGCTTCCCAGTCCGAACACCGACCACAGACACCACAGCAAACCATACAAGACTACATGACACCAGACTTGAAGTAAAACCAGAAAATAGACTACTTTATTTTAACACAGATACAAGATATATACATTCAAGGGAACACCCCCCCCCCTTCCCTGCATAATGACACAGGTTGGGGCAATCTACCTTTAGTAACAAGAGCCACACCAGCAAACAGTCCCATCAGTATGGAGGGCTGATGGAAACACCCCCCCCCCCACCAAGCCAATACACAAACACATGCATCCCATAATGGTTTGCTCCCAAGCAAGACACACAATAGAACAATGGGATGCAAACACATGGCTTTAAACAATCAACAACCCCCCCCCACACACCAATATTAGGACAGATCACCCTGTACCCCTAACAGGCACAGGGTGACTTACACATAAGAGGGATATGGGGAGCTGAGACAGGGGTCTCCCCACCTCTCCAAAGTGAGCTGTGCTCCATGGCTCTCACCCTCTGATGAGGTCTGATAGGGGCATCTGATATTGTATAAGGGGGAAACAGGTTTTCTTTAATCATCCCAATCTTATGAAAACCTAAAACATAATAGTGTTTCCCAGGTCATGAGACTTTGTGACAGACGGTCAGTGACTCAAACACGATGACATTATGCCCCTGACTTTTTTTGCTGCACTCCCAGATCAGATAGGCTAAATCTGACCCTGGTGACAACCAGGGATTCCCTCACTTTGAGGGGATTTACCCTCACGTCCTGTTTAGGCTATAGGACAGAAAGTGATGGAATATTTCTACTTTGGCACACAAATGGCAAAAAATGAAGCTGACAGGGGTTCTAACCCCCTCTTACTCTAATAAATTTTTATTTTTTTTCCCCTTTAATTCTACTTTAACTAAAATTGGATTTTGGGGCTGCCATCTCTTCTATTTTCTCAGGTCCCATAAGGCTTTGAGAACCCCCCCCCCCCCCTCAGCCATTGTACGCCACAACACAAAAGTGCATTGTATGGGTTTATTTCTGGCTAATTGCAGTTATTTGTGCTACAATTTATCAAAGGTTTTCAGAAACCGTTACTGTCTAATTACTCGCACCGAAAACGCTTCTGCGACAGGAGAAGACATCTGCTCCTTATTAAACACAAACCGCTCTGTGATGACATCATAACGCCAAACGCGGTTCTCCACATTGGGATGATCTTATTGTACTTGGACAGGATGCACACCACTTGTTACCTCGTCTAATTGATCTGAGATCTTATATAAGTCACATTGTACAAAAATAATCATTTTACTTTATATGGAGACGACTGATTGATTGTTGAGGGTGAAAAGGAAATTATTGAGGAATAACTCCGGAGAGGGAAGACGGGGAGGAATCCATTCTGAGCAGCAGGAGTGGTTCAGGAATCAGGTGAGACTCCGATGTCTGTGATTGGTGAAGGTGATGTGGGCTGCATGTGCTTAATATTTCCAGGAACCATTAGCGCGGCGCGGCGATAGATTACATCTCCTCCGCGTTACGCACCGGAACCTCCAACAGACTTTACATTTCACAGGATGACCTTCCCAAGTCTCTCCGTATAAAACACGCTCGCCTGAAACCTTGAAGACTGGCGACGGGGAGCGCTTTTCTTTTGGCCGCATAAGGCCCTATTTTTTCTTTTTTTTTTTTCTTTTCTTCTGACTTTTTCTCCAATTTATAATGGAATGATCAAGTAATGTACTGGCGGCACACAAGGACGCAGCGAATGATGGCGGCTACTACCACTGTGTGCATCGTACGTTTACAATGACAATAAATCTTAGGCTAGGTTCACACTGTAGCGGGTTTGATTTCCACGCTTTTTTTGGGTACGGCAGCCCATTCATTCATATGGGCTGATGTGCCTGGTCCCCCCTCCCCCCAAAAAAAGGTGCCTGCATTATTTTCAAAACACAGCCACAGGAAAAGCGTATGCTTTTCTGCAACATGCGATTTTCCCTGCAGTTCTTGCACCTGCAAACGTGCTGCGGTTTTAGATACGCGGGGGTGCCATCAGGGGCGGGCTGACCATTCGAACTCTCGGGCACTGCCTGAGGGCCTGGGGTCAGTAGGGGGCCCCATAAAATGCCCCTGGTACCTTTATAGGCTTTTCTGGGTGTGTTTTGAGTGTGGGCAAGGACACAGGGGCCCCATGAGCCCCTATTGCCCGGGGGCCCCATGAGTTTTCAGTCCGCTCCTGGGTGCCATTAAGAATGAAGTATGTTATGGCTGTGGGTGATCGCAGCTGAGGGAACAAATACGATTCTCACACCCACACCCACCCACTATTATTATTATACAGGAGGAAGGATTGAGTGATACAAAAGGTAATAGCTGTGTGGGGGGGGGGGGGGGGGGGTGAGCTGATGGAGGAAATAAATGGCTCTTAGGTAGAAGCAGGATAGACTTCTTTAAAGAGAAAAGTTTTCAGGGATCGTCTAAAGGTGGATAGATTAGGAGACAGCCGGACAGACTGGGGTAGGGAGTTTCCATAGGATGGGAGAAGCTCGGGAGAAGTCCTGGAGGTGAGCATGGGAGGAGGGAGTGACATGAGAACCAGAGAGCAGAAGGTCTTGGAGGATCGAAGAGAGCGGTTTGGTTGATAAGCAAGGGCGGACTGACCATTTGGAAACTCGGGCACTGCCAGAGGGCCCGGGCCAGTAGGGGGCCCCATGAGATGCCCCTGGTACCTTTTTCATAGGCTTTTTTTAGTTTGGGCAAGGACACAGAGGCCCCATGATCCCCTATTGCTCGGGGGTCCCATAAGTTGTCATTCCGCCCCTATTGATAAGAGAGCGGTTTGGTTTATAAGAGAGCGGTTTGGTTGATATTTTGAGACCGGGTTGGTGATGTAGCTGGGGGCAGAGTTGTGGATGGCTTTGTAAGCTGTTGTTAGTATTTTTAATTTTATTCTCTACAGCAGGCATGTCCAAAGTCCGGCCCGCGGGCCATTTACGGCCCGGGGGTCGGTTTAATACGGCCCTCCAACAGCCCTCCCTGCTCTGTGTAATGTGGCCCTCCCACGGCCCTCCCTTCTATGGCAGACAGTCTTCTGCTTGAGAGCAGAGGGCAGTGCGCATGCCTGACTGCGGCGCGTTCTCCCTGGTCTGTGTAAATGCGGCTGTCGCACGGCCCTCCCTTCTGTGGCAGACAGTCTTCTGCTTGAGAGCAGTGCGCATGCGTGACTGCGCCGCGCTGGGAGCGACAGAGGGCGGTGACGTCAGGGCCGGGCTTCCAGCGTGAAGTGTGTTTCTCTTCCCCTCCCGGCTGCCGAGCAGAGACTTCAGCTCCAGCTACCTTTTTCACCCTTCACATTAGTACAGGTAAGTTTTTTTTAAAATTTATTTTCAATACATTGTGAAAACTCAGCTGTCAGTTGATCTCAATGTTATGAAATGAAAAGTATGTCGTTTGCAATTAACTTGGCATAAAATAATTTATTTGCATTAAATTGTAATGGTTCAAAGAATGTTCGGAAAAATGTTCGGCCCTCCACCATGTTCACTTCATCCAATCTGGCCCTCTTTTGAAAAACGTTCGGACACCCCTGCTCTACAGCGTGTCACACTACAGTATGAACCTGGGCTTAGGCTCGGTGCACACTATTGTTTTGGAATCGCAGCAGTTCCCACATCCACCGCCAATGCATGCTGCACTTTACATATGTGTGTGTGGGTTTATGTATGTATGTATTAACATGTTTTTTACTAAAAAGCAGTTGCTCATGTGGACGTGTTACACACACATGTGCGCACGCATGTTGTCCAGTGAGCTCTCTTCGAGCACTGCTTTCTCATCCTGCAAGTGCTTGTTCCATAACGCCTTTGACATTTTTATATAATTCTTATATATAACACATATATACATCTTTTATACATTTTTTATATAATTATTAATTTTAATTTTAATTTTTTTATTTTTTTTTATTTTTTTATTTTTTTATTTTTTTTTTTAATTATTATAATTTTTTTTTTTCCTATATATTTAATATTTCTTATGCTTCCATGTCTATGCATACACACATATACCCGTACACTATACCAATTTTACCAGATATTATACTATATTGTAACAATACTTATTTAATTTTATTTTATTTAAACTTTGTGAACCATATTAAGAAGTTTTTTGTAAAGTTTTATATCAACATTTATGTTTTACTAGTGATTTATCTCCTTTGTTCTTGTATATAGTATTGCATATGCATATCCATCCATGGTGCACTGCATTGCCACACATGCCTACGTCTCATCATATGACTATACTAGAATGAGAGGCACACACCCTGTAGGCTGCATCTCTATGAATTAACAAGTGTCTCTGCTGGGTTTCAGATCTACTCTCTATATTAAATCCATGTCCCATGGTTGTCTATGGCAAGCAGAGCACTAGGCAGCTTTGTAGCGTTGCTCATCCATCCATCCATTTATTTAAAGGCGAGCAGTGCAGTGCATCACCAGGGAAGGATTTTTATTATTTTTTATATATGTGTAACTTTCCATTTATTTATTTATTTTTCACTGTGCACACTTCTTATGGTTCATATGATTTTATGATTGTCACTAGTTTCAATGGTTTTATTTATGCACGTATGTGTATATATATATATATGTGTATATATTTTTATAGACCTTTTGTGTTTACTTATACTATGTCAAATGCCCCTGTGACTCCTCCCCCTGCACAGGGGAGTGTCCAGGACGGCCCATGAGACCTTTGGTTTAACTATTAGTGAGCATATAAAAGAGGGAGCAGACATTTGGTCAGTT